AGCGAACTCCACATGAGAAACATCAAAAGCAATCACTTTGTGAATTACACGTTTAAGGCCAATTAAACAATGTAGAATCGGCAGCCGCAATTTTATTTGGCCAGCTCTGGTTATTATAAGTTATATCAGAAGAGTATTAGTCACGGATCATTTTAATTGTAAATTTAGACTAAATTTTATTTAGATGTCAGAAGTTGTTCTGAAAAAGAACACGAACAAATTGAATTTTTGCGATTTAACGACAGCTCAAGTTGGCCGTGAAAAAAGAATGCATCAATGTGCTCCATACATCCAACTGTATTGAACTTTTATAGTTGACATCGAGATCAGTGCGATTAAATGTATTTTTTTTTGCACGAAAACGCAAAAATAAACACTGCAAAGTTTTGGTTCATATTAGGTATCTGCAGCTATGTACTATACCGAACACTCAGATGACAGCTAAAAATAACTTTCTAGAGAATTTTTCGTTCTAATTGTAATAAATTATTCATGCACGTTGTCTGGTTGTTTTTGCCTTATTAATTGTTTCACTCAGATCGCCTACTGCTAATCCATGTGAGCCGGTTCAACGCGCTTTCACTTTAAAACTATAATGTGCCTATATTGCCATAATTTTTCCTATTGTAAGGGTGATTTCTCATTTACAAAGCTTTCAAGATTTTCTCGAAGAATTATAAACGGTAAATAGTGGTATGTATTTGAAAAATCTTACTGAATGCAAGTGCTTCTTTGTTGGTCACGCCAACAATTGAGACCTTTGGTTTGGCAGAGGCAACCATCATATCCGGATGTAGCAGAAATTCTCCATCAATCACAGCTCCAAATTTCACAAATCTCAGGCCATTCGTTAGGGCCCCATAAAAAATCGCAACCATCATGACTTTTCGCGATGACTAGGCAAAAGGAGACACTCACCATTTCTCTTATTCCGTTATTAATCTCGTCAATGGACTTTCCTTTGAGGCAAACTTTGACATTATTATCACATCTCAATATCTAAATTTATATATGCATTATTAACGTAATTTTAGCGCAAAG